GGGGGGGGGGGGGCGTCGGTCGGTCGGGTCAGCCTGGGCAGGATGCTGGCAGGTGTTCAAGTGGGGTCTTGACCGGTACGTTTTGTTATTTCAGGGCAGCTCAAGGCCATGTGAAAGCCAGGCTTTCATTGTTTTTTGTTTTAGTCCGGAACTTGGAAACGGTATTAAAAACGTTATTGGTGAGGAGGTCGTGGGAGGGGAGAACCGTGAGAGCTCAACCTTAACTCTCTCAGCCCCTTGGTGTTGGGGCGAGAGAGCAGGTGCCTTTGTGGGGGACTGTCCCTTCTATCTGTGCCTGGATCTGGGGCCTGGGTCGTCAGAGCTGAAGACCAGGCATGTCATAACCCGGGGCCCTTCTTACCTTCAGGTTCTGAAACTCCTTCTCCTCTTCTTTGAGCACCTCCAGCTGCTTCAGGACTGAGTCTTGCTGGAATTCACCCCGGTCCATCTACAACCCAGAAATCGCTGCTCAGTGGGTAGGAGGTGGGCTAATCGTCCACTTCCCCCAAGGAAAAGCCGGAGAAATGCGCTCAGAAGATGCTTGCCATCTGCGCCTCCCCTCCCCGCCACCTCTCGCTGCCTGGCCCCTGGAGGCAGGTGACAAGAGCCTGGAGGAGATTCCAGATCTCACTGTTGTTCTTGGACCCCTAGCCCCACCCCTCCTGAGAGCCGGAGACAGAGAGGTGGGTGGGTGGGTGCAGGGCAGGTCTCTAAGACCCATCGTCTTCCTTCCCGTGGGCTAGGGTTATCTCCTCCAGAGATCTTGCTTTGATTCGGTTCAATTCAGTGAGCCTTTATTGACTTCAGGCCAGGCATTGTGCTCAGGGCCAGGCAAACAGAGGTCAGGAGACATTACAGAACAGCTATGCTCATCAGGGAGCTGGGCTTGTAGATAAATAACTGCAGAACGTCTGGGCAGGGCTCGGGGCCCGCAGCTCCTCAGCGGGGCTAGGCTTCATGACGGCCTTGAGAAGGAATCAGTGAATAACTACCTCTGAGGTGCTGGCAACTAGGGCCTCCTCACCTGCCATTCACAGCAAGGACTTAGATTATTCGAAGTTATCTTCCCGAACAGAGGCCAGAGAGCCTGGGGACAAGATCATTTCCTGTTTCTCTTTGGTTCTCCAGCACACCTGGTGCAGCGCCTTACACACTGTGGTCATCGACCAAAATCCTTCCGGAGTGGAATCATATTTAATTGTGTTTTATTCATTCTTTGATTTGCCGGTGCCCGGCGTGGTGCGTGCCATACAGTAGGACTGTCACAATTGTTATGTTTATGTCAGATGAATGAATGAAGTGGCATGGCGCTAAATTACTGGAAATTAAAAAAATAATTAGACTTAAGGTGAAAAGTAAAGCACACTTGGCACACAGTGGGGTTATTAATGAATGTGAACAGCCACAGTGGTTCTTGTCCTGTGGCACAGAATGTTCTTCCCATGTATCCCTTCTGCACATGACATGATCTGGGCCAGGTTCCCACCCACTCTCAGAACTGGGCTGTGTCTTCTCCCTTGTGACTCACTTTCCTGATCTCTTTTTGGAGCCCCACAGAATCAGCCAGCGTGCTTCCATCCTGTCACTTCCCCACTAATGCTGCTTTTTTCATTTTCCAGTAAATGCTGTGGCTCTATCTGGATTGAGTTCTTCTCTTCCACCAGATTCAGCTTCTCAGCCCGCCTCTCCTCAGTGTTGGGGCTGTATCGGTGCCGGGGGTGAAGGGAGTGGCTGGACGAAGGTCTCTCCAAGGGGAGCCCTCAGCGGGTTCTTCTTATCTCCCACTCTTAACTGACCACTGAGTGACCCCCACCCCTTCCCTGAGGGTCTGGACTGGAGAATGGTGTGGAAACAGTCAGAGGCAGTCAGAATATCCCAGTGAGAGGGAATGCAAGGTCCCCAGGGGATGAAGGACAGGCGTGGGTACTTTCACACTAGACTCAATCAATCTCATCAACAGAGACGTCCATTCCTGCCCAGGTCTGGACTGACCGTTCATCTGTGTCAGACACTATGTTAGGTCTGGGCGAAGTAGACATTTGTCCCTTTGTCTCTGAGGAACGCTGGGATACTTGGGGAGGCTGACGTGTAATTAGAGAAATGCACTATGAAAGAGGAACATGCAGAGTGTTTGGGGAGAGCACCAGGAAGTGCATAGCTCTGCCAGCCATGGTGGGGCAAGCCTGGAAGATTGTGGAGGAGGTGACATTTGAGCTGACTCTCGAAGGAGAATGTGAAATTCAACAGACAAAATCAACAGGCCGAGGGAAGAGCAGTGCAAAGCCTCCGAGGTATAAAAGACTCAAGGGCTGGGAACTGCAAGTTCTCTGGGGCGTTGGAGGGCTGGATGCATTTGGCAGGAAGATGGGGCTGGACAGGCCGGAAGCCGCTTCCTGCTGAAGGGTCTTGATGACCCGCCTGGTGCTGGAATATCAGGTAGATCTGGAGCCACCGAGGGTCTTTAAGTAGGACGGTAACAGGATCAGATTTGCATCTTAGAAGGACCCTTTGTGGGACTCTGGAGGGTGGAGAGTAAAGTGGTGAAAGATTAGAATGTGGGACCACTTGGGAGGATGCCGTCATCGATCAGGGGAGCCGTGGTGAGGCCTGCACTTAGGAGTTATAGTGGAGAAGAGGCAGGGGCACAGCTCTGAAAAGATTCTGAAGTGGAATTGTCGGGACCTGAAAATCAACTGGATAGAAGAAGAGCAGCAGAGAAAACGTCATTTCAATTCACTAAACGTTGGTGAGCATCTGCCAGGGAACGTGGAAGGCTCTGGGGACACAGGGATGAGTAAGGCAGCTTGCTCACCATCTAGTGGAGACAGATAAGGAAACAGGTGATTTCACAGCAAAGCAAATAGCGACCGTTCCTTGAGCCCTCACTGTGTTCCACTGGCTCCAGCCTCTTCAGGGGTTCATCCACTGAGCCCTCACCCCGACCCCATGTACCATGACCTTCATCCTATCCTAGAAGAGGAGACTGAAGCACAGAGAGGCCCATGCTCTTGACCGACCTGCTTGCAGCTGCTACTCCAACATATTATAACCGTGACACAGTAGGCACCAGAGTTTTCCGGGATTTTGTTTGGACAGATGGATGGGTGACGGTCCATCGAGGGGGCTCGGGAGGAGAAGCGGCCTTGGGGTTGCTGGAGAAATTATGAGTTTAAAGCTATCCAGTCCCCAAAGAGGAGCCTATGCTTGTTGCAGACTTCTGGGGAGATGGGGGGAGCAGGGCATGTACTGGATGTTGATAATATATCTATGTGTGGAGGATTATATGTTATATCACAACATCTTACGGCAATTATACACATCTTCTCTCCCTACTGGACAATGGGTCCCTTGAAAGCTGGGACTGCATCTTAGATGCCTTTGAGTCTCCGAGAACCCCAAGCACAATATAGTAGACACACAATAAATCTTTGTTGGCTGAGAATGCGAGCACGCTTCATTTTATTGCGCTTCACAAATATTTCATTTTTTATAAATCCAAGGCTTGTGGCAACCCTGCAGAGGACAAGTCCTTTGGCACCATTTTCCCAAGAGCATCTGCGGCTCGCTTTGTGTCTCTATGTCACATTTTGGTAATTCTTGAGAATTTAAGACTTTGTCATTATTATCGTCTTTGTTACGGGGATCTGTGATCAGTGATCTTTTTGGTTTTTTTTTTCTTTTTGGCCACGCCTCACGGCACGTGGGATCCCGCGCCCCCTGCAGTGGAAGCGCAGAGTCTTAACCACTGGACCGTCCCTGTGATCAGTGATCTTTGATGTTACTATTCACTGAAGGCTCAGATGACGGTTACCAGCTTTTAGCAATAACGTATTTTTTAATTAAGATAGGTACCTTTTTAAAGACATAATGCTATTGCACACTTAATAGACTACAGTATATAGTGTAAATGTAACTTCTGCATGTACTGGGAAACCAAAAATTCCACGTGACTAGCTTTATTGCGGTCTGGAACCCAACCCACAGTGTCTCCTAGGTCTGCCTGTAGGTGCCTGGCCTGTTATGGGGGGGGAAGCACATCTTGCCTGATGCTCTGCTTGTCAGGAGCATCTAGAGCATCAGGAAGCCTCTGGTTCTGGGAGCTTCAGGGCGCAGAGGTCGGGGCGGGGCGGGGATAAGATGGCATTCTCACCATCCGCTGCTTGATGGTGGGCGGTTCCTCAGCCTCCCGGCCAGAGGCAGGCTCCTTGTGGACAATCTCTACCCGGATGTCATTCCTGGCTGACACGACACCTTTGAGATCTGGCCATAAAATAGGAAAGTGTAGACGACAGAATCAGTTGTCATCTCAGGCATTAGGGCCTGAGATGTCAAGCTCTCCCCTCCCCTCCAGCCCCTGAACTCAGCAGTTTCAGGGCCCACCTGGTAATAGAACCTGTCTGGACGTGCCGTGGGCTGTTGGGACCTCAGAGTACTTTCTCTGCTGGCTCCTGGTTGCACGACCCTCAGGCTTTCCCTGCCTCTCCCGTGGCATGGGTGGTCATCCCCAACCATTCGGCCACCTGGTCATCCTACTAAATTCTCACCTCCTTCTAGAAGTCTTCCCTGACCTACTCTACCAGGCTCTGATCTCTCCGTTCAGAGAATCACACATCTGTTAGAAAGGACCTTGAGATCCCATGGTCAACCTCCCACCCAAAGCAGAAACGTCCCTGCACTAGTGGTCCAGCTTCCGTAATGGAGAGCTTACGGCTTCTAGAGGAAGAAGCCGGTTTATACCTGGAGAGCTCTGTTAGAAAACTCCTGCTGAAATATGCTCCCCCATGATGTCCACTGAGCGGGTGGTGAGGGAGGGCCTGAGACCGCATCACTGGGGGCCCTCAAGAGAGCAAGGCTGCTCAGCTTGGAGGGGAGGACACAGGCAACTTTCTTTCAACATGTGAAGGCTGCCAAGCAGAGGGAGGAGCAGGCTTACACTGATTATTCTTTTTGTGCCTTCCGCTCATAGAATGTCAGAGCCGGGTGGGGCCCTGGAAGTCACATCAGCCGGCCCCTTGCTATTACACAGGAGAGAACCGAGCCCTGGAGTGGCTGTGGCTTGCCCAGGGTCACGGGGTCGAAGAGGCGGGACCACAAGACAGTCTCTATTGTTCCCACCGTCTCCACCCTCCCATTTACCCTTCCACGTGTCTGTCTAGCAGACGTAAGTTCAGAGCTACGCCCAGGACGGAGACTCCAGGCACACACGAGTGAAGAGTGCATCACTGCAGCTCTATTTACAATAGCCAGGACATGGAAGCAACCTAAGTGTCCATCGACAGAGGAATGCATAAAGAAGACGTGGCACATATATACGACGGAATATTACTCAGCCATAAAAAGGAACAAAACTGAGTTATTTATAGTGAGGTGGATGGACCTAGAGACTGTCATACAGAGTGAAGTAAGTCAGAAAGAGAAAACCAAATACCGTATGCTAACACATATATATGGAATCTAAGAAAAAAAAAAAAGGTCATGAAGAACCTAGGGGTAAGATGGGAATAAAGACACAGACCTACTAGAGAATGGACTTGAGGATACAGGGAGGGGGAAGGGTAAGCTGTGACAAAGCGAGAGAGAGGCATGGACATATATACACTACCAAACGTAAAATAGATAGCTAGTGGGAAGCAGCCGCATAGCACAGGGAGATCAGCTCGGTGCTTTGTGACCGCCTGGAGGGGTGGGATAGGGAGGGTGGGAGGGAGGGAGACGCAAGAGGAAGGGAATATGGGAATATATGTATATGTATAACTGATTCACTTTGTTATACAGCAGAAACTAACACACCATTGTAAAGCAATTATACTCCAATAAAGATGTTAAAAAAAAAAAAAAGCGCAACACCAGCACTTTATGGCTAACAACTAAAAGACCTTTAGGAGTCCCCCCAAAGCAATTCCCTGAACCCCCCTTTTTTTTTTCCTGTGTGGGTGGCCTGCTTTTCTGGTTCGACTAGCAGATCTTGGAGGGCAAAGATCACCTCCCCCCACCCCCCCACCCCCGGGTTTCAGTACAGTTCCCGATGGGTGGAGAGTGCTATGTATGTTCAATTTGAGGTGCTAGCTGACGGCCCTGCTGCATGAAGTTCACTTCTGTCCAGCTCAGCAGCAGTGGAGCGCCCGCTCTGTAGCAGATGCCGAGCAAAGCGCTGCATGTGAAAAGATGCGTGAGGCCCATCCCTGCCCCAGCAGCTCACAGCACTGGTAGGGCCCCTGCTCGCTGTACTCCTGCTTTTACTCCGGGGCAGTCTAAGCTGGCCTTTTTCTCTGCCCCCCTCCCTGAGCTCCCGGGTCTCCCTCCCGTACTTCTCTGGGAGCGGGCACAGCAGAAGGCCACAATGGTTGCCAGAAGGACGAGGAAGGCCACGCCAGCTCCTACGGCCACCCCGATGATGACGGCCATCGGCACAGCCTCTGTGGGAGAGAAGCAAGCAGGCTGATGAGGGAGCTGGGGCAGCCCGCTCTCTCCCCCCAGATCTCACCCAGCTCCTCGGGCGCAGCCCCTGCCGAGCTGGGGCCAGACCACGGCGCGTGGGCGCTCCTGGGAAAGGCCACAGGGGCCTGCGCAGGCGCGGGCACAGTCCAACAGGGGTCAGCTCGGGCGGGACACGGTGTGGCGGAGAGGGCGGGCAGACCTGGGAAAGATGGCAGCAGTGGTGGGGGCAGAGAGGCACGCAGACACAGGGAGGGGAGGGGAGCGTGGGAGGTGAGAGGCAAGGTTGGTACGCTGAGCTCTCCGAGGTGATACACCAGGAGAGTCGTTAAGTCCTGGCTTTTCTTTGGAAAATGACCAGGGTCACTGCCGCTGTTTGTTCGCTTCGCTTTTTCCTTCGCTTCCCTTTCCCAGGTGCAGAGGGTGGACAATGGACAAGCAGCTTTTAGAGAGTTTTCAGGTCTGAGGCAGCTTCCCCTCCGGACCTGGGCATCACAGGTGGTAACAGCCAGGGGCCACGTCTTAGGGGCCGGAGGGCAGGATCACAGCTCCCTCCACCTCTTTTTTTTTGTTTTGTTTTGGTCGCGCTGCATGGCATGCACTTCCCCAACCAGGGATCGAACCTGTGCCCCCTGCAGTGGAAGCGCGGAGTCCTAACCACTGGACCGCCAGGGAAGTCCTTCCCCCCACCTCTTTAAGGAGAGATGCCCAGTCCTGCCCCCTCCTCTCCTGGGCCAGTCCTCTGGGCAGGAATCCCGGCACCCCACCCCGTCAGAGAGGCACCTGGAACTCCAGCTAGGCAAAGCTTCCCTCCCTGCTGAGTTCCTGTACTCTGTCTCCTGCCCTAGCCAAGTAGAGATGGGGGTGGGGAGGGTGATGTTAGGCTGGGGTGGGCGCTCTTCCAGACAGTCCTGACCCTTCTGTGTCTGCAGAGGGGGCCTGAGCATATGATGTGGGACCCTGAGTAGTCCATGGGGGGTTAGAACTAGAGAATGCAGGGGCAGGAGAGCTTAGGGCTCAGAGAGTCCAAGCCTCCCATTTATAGATGGAAACCTTGAGGTCCAGGGAAGTCAAGTGACTTGGTTAAGGACACACAGCTACAGTAGAGCCAGTGCAAATCCACGTCTCCTCTTATCTGCCCCCCTCATCCTGCCCAGCTCCACACACTGCGTCCCATGGCATCCTACAAATCTCACATCCTCTGTACAGCCCAGAGCAACGTACTTTACCCTCTCTTTTCTTTATCTGTAAAATAGGATAATTACAGTGCCTGCCTCAGGGGCGCGTCTGGGGTTTAGATGGGTGAATGCAGGCAGGTAAAGGCTGGCACAGAGCCTGGCACCCAAACCGATCCCAGCCTTTGCCCTCGTGTCTGTGTGGGAAGGAGGACCGCAGCAGATACAAGGATAGGAAAGTTCCTTTTTGAGACTCAGCTGCTGCCCCTACCCCACGCTCTCAGTGTGGATGACTGGGGACTCCAGGTATCGGTCCTGAGCTGGAGGTTGGCCTCTCGCCTCTCACTGTCGTTTTCTTTAAAGAGCAAAAGAAAGGAAGAACCCCGCAGACCCTGGCCCCTGGAGATGCTGCTGGGAGGGGGTGTGGTCCCTCTCCCGGAAGGAGCGCGTGTCCAACGGTTGGCAGTGTTGGCCGTCAGGCTGGGGCTCTCCTTCCAGCCCAGGACTGGCACACTGGTGCATTCATCACCTGCCTACTGGAGCCCGAGACCCCTGTAGGGGGCGCACGGGAGGCGACGGGGAGGAGGTGGGTGCGACAAACACTCGGGGACTGAAAATGGAAGGCGTTTGGGCTGGTCTCAACAGTCAGGGGTGAGACAATGGACTTGACCTCGCCAGCCCTGCGGGCTTGCTCTGACACTGAGACGGCCCTGTCTCTAGGTTTGAATTTCTCTAGGAAAGGAAAGCTGCGTTGGAAGTTCGTTGCTTCCATGCTTTTGAATTTTATTGATTTGAGTTGAATTCAGTTTCTCCGAGATTCCTAGGGCATTTCCTTGGAAAACTCGGGTCTTGTCTCAGCTGAGCTCAGAGCCAAAGGATGACGGTGGAAGGGTCCTTAACCTCTCTGGGCCTCAAGGTCTGTGAAACCAGAGAACCAGGGAAGCGGTATCTAAGGCAGCTGTGCCTCTGGCGTCTGCATTTCCTTAAGTTGTTAACAGCTGGGAGGTTGTGGTGGTAGCCATCTTATCTGGAGGACTGTCCTGAGTGGGTGGGTGGGGGCAGAGGGAGAGGGTCCTGGGCGGGGGACCCAGGGTGCAGGCACAGAAGAGATGGAGACAGAGGGTGACACCAGCTCAGCACCAGGAGTGGCCCTGAGGGGCGTCAGGGAGAACACAGCAGGAGTTGATATTGTGTGCCCGCCTTGAGCTGGCCTGTGCCTGGCCTGTTGCTCTTTAAGGGGCCGCCTGCCCAGAGGGGAGGGGCTGAGCGGGACCCACCAGGGACTTGCTGAAGCGCCTCCTGGGCTGGTGTGGCGGGAGAACTAGGGCAGGGGGCCCCTCATCTTCGTCATGGCCTTTGCCGACCCTGTAGGGTCTGGCTTGCCATGTCCTGATTCTCTTTTCTGGGTTTCTCCCTGGAGGGTGGGGGGCAGTTGTCTCCTGTGGGGTCCCAAGAGAGAGCAACTCAACCCAGGGAGCCTGGTGACCCCTTTTGCTGCCAAATCCCCGGGGAGAGAGGCACTGCCCAGCGGCCTCAGCCCGGTGGTGAGATGACAGCTCCACGGGGAATGCAGGAGTGCGGGAAGGAGCCAGCCAGCAGAAAGCACGGGGTCAGCATGGATTACGCAGGCCACAGCCGGGCTGGGCGGCCCAGGTGTTCTTGGAAGCGATGGCCAAGCTGGTGATGATGGTGAGAAGCGGAGTCAGGTGGGGGTGAGCTGACCCCAGGGGGAGGAGTCAGGGCTTCAGAAGAGGAGGGGTAGGAGGAAAGACGGGGGAGGAGCAAGTGCCCTGGGCTGCCAGGAGCCTGCGGGGGGGCAGCAACAACGGAGACAGGTCTCGGGGTCTCTAGACCCGTGCTGCCTGGAGGCTCTCTCCCTGCTGCTCTGACTGCACTAAAGCCTCAAGATGGGGGAGGGCAGAGAAGTTAGCGGCTGCCCTGGCCTCCCGACCCACACTTTGGGCTCCCTCCCACTCTAGCCCAGCAGCCCCTTCCCCCATCCCGGGGAGTCTCATGTCTCCTTCGTACCTGCTTCCAGCCCGGCTCCCGACTTCATTTCCGAACCTGTTTGGAAATAAAGCAAGAGTCCACAGCCAGGGCCTGGCTGGCCAGGGTGGGGTGGGAATGGGAGCGGGGGCGGCCCTCTGGAGGGTCTGGGGTGGTTGGGGGCTCCCTCCTGCATCACATCTCCAGGATGCCCCACAGATCCGGCCTGGCCGAACCGAACCCGGAGTTCGTTCAGACTGACTTAGGGACTCCAGACAGGTGGGACCAGAGAGAGAGGTCAAGGCTGGGGTGGGAGTTGGCTCTGAGGAGGGGGGGTGAGAACACTAAGGGGCGGGTGGAGGGGTGGGGCACTGAGGGGAAGACGCGGAGGGGAAGCAATGGTGGACTGGGAGGGTTGGGATGATGTGTCGATGATATTATGCAAATTATGCGCAAAGCATTAGCAAAGCAGCACTTATTAGGGAAGAGGTGTTGGGAGCAATGCGTGATCCACAGGGTAGCACTGCGGCCCCAGGGGCCCAGCTGAGACCACCTGCTTGGCCCAGGATCTCTTCCAAGGCCTGACAGCCTGTGGGTGGGCCTTAAGCTTGGAGGGGTCGGAGACTGCCAGGGCCGAGGCCCCCTGGACTGTTCCTGTCTGTCTTGGACTAACCCCCGCTGGCCAAGGGGCTAGATCTGCAGCCCATCTCAGGACCTGGTGTGCCACTGGCTGGCTGCCTCATTTCTCTGGAACCCCCTCCATGCCCCTCTGAGACCCCCGCCCTCCGAGCCTGAGTCCTTCCGAGCTCTGAGCCCTTCTGCCCGGCGCTGCCCTGCTGGCTGGGGTCTCCTTCAGAGCACAGTGCTCCAAGTGTCTCCTGTGTCCCCATGGGGAGCTGCAGGCAGCCTGAGGCCAGTCCCCTGCACACCAGGGATTGGACAGCTCAAGTGCCACTCCTTAGCTTAGCACGGGCACCCTCGGGTTTGGGGCAACTGGACTGGCTTTTTGGCTTAATGGGCTGGGCCAGGTTCCCCAATACGCGCATCCTGGTGCATCCCCGTGGGGACACTGCTCAGAGATCATGCCCCCAAAGGGCCCCAGGGAACCGCTGAGAGCAGGGAAGCCAGGGCCTTTAGTCAACGTGGCGCCTCCTGAGGGGCCAGCACCTGGGCAGCTGTCCTCCTGCTTGCTCTGGAGCAGGCCAGTGCCCCTGGGCTCGGGGGGCCTGGCTGACCGGCAGCGGCTGTGTGGCAGGTGAGGAAGGGCCTCCGGCCCGCCCGCAAGTGCAGGCGCTCTGTCCCCCCAGGGCCCCGGAGGACCTTGCTTGGGCCCTGCCCTTGCGGGGAGAGGCCGCGGTCCGTGGCTCTGGCAGCCCCACCTTGCTCCTTGAGCCGGATGATCTCCGTGTCGGAGCCGAAGCTGTTCCAGGCGGTGCAGTTGTAGATGGTCTGGAAATCGGCCCGCACGATGTTGCTGATGGTCAGCGTGGAGATGACGCCCTCCTCGGTGCTGACCGTCTCCACCGTGTAGCGGCCCGATGTCCCCGACTCCAGCACGTTCTCCTTCCAGGACCAGGCCTGCCCAGGTGCACAGAATTGGGAGGACATCCTGCCCGGGCCGTCGTGCTGCCTCCCTGCTCCCGGGCGGACGCTGCCAGGCCCGCGCTCACGCTCACCGCCACACGGCACAGGTCGACGCGCACGCCACAACACGTGCGCGCACAGCTCAGCGCCCGCAAACACACGCCACATCACGGGTACACCTACCGTCCCACCCACAGTGCCAACACGTGCACACGCAAGTACGCCTACGTCACAACACACAGCATAGACACGTGTGCGCACACACACATCACGACACGGGTACACCTACCGCCCCACCCACAGTGCCAACATGTGTACACACAAGTACGCCCATGTCCCAACACACAGCACAGACACGTGTGCACACAGCACACACACATGTCACAACACGGGTACACCTACCGCCCCACACGTAGCACACACACACGTACACACACAGAGGCTGGGCCACCTCAGAGGGTATTTCCATCGACACGGGGCCTTACGCGGCTTTTTGCTGGAACATATTCCCAGGCAAGCAGGGGCTCTGGGGCGGCGATGGGAGCCCCTCCGTCAGCTGGGGCCCCTGACAGATGGTGGTGAAGGCCAGCCCCAGGCTGACTGAGTCTGGTTTGGTTACTTTGTGCGTGTCTTTGTACAAACGTTACGCTCTGAGAGCTGCGTTTGTGAGAACCTTAGTGCAGCTTGGTTTCGGCCGGTGAGCGTTTACCTCTTCTCAGAGCCCTTTCCCGTACACTGTCACCGCCTGCCCCACCGTGTTGCCCTGGGCTCTGTGGGGTGTTTAGCTGCACCCTACAATGTCTCCAGGTGTCGCCAAATGTCCCCTGGGGGCAGAACCGCCCAGGTTGAGAACCCCTGGCCTAGAGTTCCATTTCCACGAAGAGGAAGACAGTGTGAATAGGCTCAGTAGTGAACAGGATATTATCGACACCAGCACGTGTTACACTTACACTTTAAAAAGATTAGAGTGAAGGGAAGAGGGAGGCGTAGGCATTAGTTCTACGCGTGGACCCTTGCCATTTTTGTGTGACTCAGACAGTGAATGAACTGAATGCCTGAGGAAGTGTGTAACGCACCAGTGCTCTAACAAGGTCTCCATCTACAGGGTGACACCTTAGCTGTTGGCGTGTGCCTCCCACGCCCCTTCAGGTGCTGCCGCCCTGGGGAAAGGTGAGACTGCCCTGTGAACTTGACCTGGGCGGCCTTTCGGCAGGACCGCCTGGGCACTGGGCTTGCAGACAACAGTGTCTCCACCCCTCCCCCGACACCCAACAGTGCGGGGAGATGCTCACCTCTCTGTTTTCCCGCCCCAGCTTCTACCAGTGTCAGCGGAACCTGGGTGGGAGACCCCCACTTCTACAAATGCAAATACCTGGGAGGGCTACATGTGAGCCAGTCAGGCGGCCCAAGCTGCACTGCGGGGACAAGGGTTTTGAGGGAGGGGCGGGGAGAATGGAGTGATGCTTTCAGAGGGAAAACTTGCTAACTGGGGCAGCGCTCTCCATGGGCATCAAAGCAGAGGAGGGTTGTGGAGGCGCAGAGAGAGGTCTGCTGACTATAAGCTGCATCCTATTTACGATTTTGCTAAAGGCTGGCCTTGAACCCAGGAAAGGTAAGAAATCGTGTTTTCCCTTCTGCTGCCCTCACTTGCCCTCTGCCCCCAAGATGCAGAATTTGGTCGGAACCATTTGTGTTGGCACACAGCTGAGAGGCAGAGAAGAGTTAAATACACCCGCGGGCGAGGAGCACAGCCTGTCCTGAGAAAGGAGACTGCCCATGATTTTTGTCTTCGTGATGCCTTTCCAAGAGACACAAGGCAGGAATAGTTTTACCCAACGGGGAAAGGCAATGCAGAGGCAAGAATGACCAGCTGGATGGTGGAGCGGCTGCAGGCACAGATGACCCGCCAGGCTGCCCAGCCTGGAGGCCGTGCCACTGGCCCTCCCTGCTCGCCCCGGGGCACTCACGATGCGGTCGGGTGGCGGCGTGCTCCGGATGAAGCACTTGATTTGGCCCTTCTCCCCGTGGAGGGCGTGCTGGGTCTGGGTGCTGGAGATGATGGGGGGTCCTGTTGGGGAGACAGCATCACATCAGGGATTTGGGAGGGGGTGGGCACTGGCTGGGCCCCTCTTGGCAAGTTCAGAAGTTTATACATTCATTCAGTCGTTCAGCAAACAGTTACTGGAGGCCTGTATATGCAAGGTGAAGGGAGAGGCAGGGGACTCAGAGATAGATGAGGCTTCAGTCATAAACGTCTCAAGGGATTGTGAGTGAGTGCCTCTAAGTCAGGACGCCCAGAGACATCAAGAGCTGTCACAGGAGGTGGGGAGGTGAGCACCAGGCAAAGTGCTAACCGACTTCACAGGAGAGAAGAACTCTACCCGGCAGGTGGGGAAACCTTTATGAAGGAGGCGGTACACCTGCGAAGGGAGTGGGGGAGGTGTCAGGGAGGAAGGACTGTAAGGTCACCTCCGCCTCAGCCAGCTGTTGGATTTCAAACCATTCCCTTGTATCTCCAGTAGAGGGCGCGCTTGCCTAACAAACCGGTGTCCTCGGCAGGACAGGAAAACCAGGCAGGAAGGGAAGTAAAAGATGTTCCTCCACGAAGCGGGGAAGCGGGGAATCACCCCCCCTCCCCCACCCACCTGGCATACATGGCTTGGGCTGGCACCTTCACAGACTTCATCTCACATGTGTCTCAGGAGATCCCTTAGTTCATCGCTTTGCACGCCACATACATACCTGGACAACCCAGGTGGGACCACAGCTCCAAAGCTGACCCCGACATTATCCTATCCCGCCCGGGCGTGCGTGCGTGTATGGGTCATGTTTATGGATGTCTCTGGGGACACCTGGCTCATTTACCACCTCGGACAGCCTGGAGGGTCCACCAGGATTCCAGCAGTGCTTCCTGTCCAGTTCTGCCTGTTAACTAACCCAAATGACTGCATTTAGGCTGGGAAGGGAAACGTCTTGGAGATGGGAGAGGCAGACATGAGGGACCCTCGAGATAAGGGCTTCCACCCTCAGGGGGCCTTCAGAGTTCCTCTCTTAGGAACCTTAGCTGCAAGAAGCCTTTGGCCAAAAGGCAGGAGGGCTTCATGTTTTAGGACCTTGGTTGGCGCTTTGTTTTGCTGCCGGGCTGAAAGCGATGATCCTGTAAAACCTTTTCCCCTTCACTTCCCAGGAGCTAGGATTTCCCTGGGGTGTGGGGGGGGGCGGTGTCATTAGCTGTTCTAAAACGATCAGGTAAATGCACACACATTTAAGGGCTTCTTAAAAGAAAACAGGAATCGGGGTAAGGGTAGATGGGGGTGCGAGAGTCCGGACACAGCAGTAGTATGGTTTATCTCCCCCTTCCTGCAAATCCCGGGTTTGAGCCAAATCATGGGCCAGTTTATTCCCCAAAGGGCGATGGCCAGCAGTCATCTCCCGGCCGGGATGCATTTTGATGAGAACCTCATCTCATTTTGGATTTGTTCATAGTGTTGATTCCTTCAGCCTAGTCCAGGCCTGCCCAAAGGGCTTCACCACCCCTCCCCACCTATTCTCCAGACACAGGTATAGACAAGTCCATTCCCAAGTCCACGCATGTGCCGGCTGGCAGGCTCCTCTCTGTGGGCCACTTCCTGCATCCTCCTGCCTCAGGGCATGATGACCCTCATTCAGAAACAAGCAAACTGCCTCCTCCCTTCACTCCAATCTCTTGGGTGTTTCTCTTCCTAGCAGCCTAGGGGAGCTTGTGTCAGAGGATTGGAGGCATAGGCGGGGGTTGGAAAGAACGACCCTGGAGAGTGCAGATTAAACCCTGGATAGACACCAGGGCCCAGGCTGGGGTGTCCCATCCAAGAGGAATGTCCCTTTGAGGTGTGCGTTCCCTCCTCAAGAAACCGCTTTGAATCCCTGTTGGGAAATGCTTGAAAGTCTAAAGTGACAACGGATTTTAGTCCTTCCTTTATCCATCGCGTTTTCCCCAGAAATGAGGATGCTCATTTAAAAGCTTCAGGCTTGGGGACCCCGGGGGCCACACGTGAGTCTGAGGGTCCCCAGCCCGGCTGGTGACAGGACCATCGGAGCGGAGCTGGCCGTAGTCATGGGCCAGCACGACTCCCAGCGCCCTCCCAGAGCGGGTGGCGGGCAGCTGGGGAGGTCGCTGATTTCACCAGGGCCTAGCGCCTGAGCTGAGTGTCAGACACTGGAGCCGGCAGGAAAAGGCTGCAGCCCACGTTGCCATGGATACATGGAGGTGCGATCAGATGCTGTTATTTTTAGCCCTGCAGCGCCAATTTATTGGTGGCGTCCTGGGGACACGTAGGAAAGGCAGGAAGGCTTCCGAGTCAGGGATCTGCCCTGGACAGACGGCTCCGGGGTCTGAGCAGATTCACCCTCCCTCTGGGGCTGCCACGACTCTTGGGGAGGGGGGAGGCAAAGAAAGAGATGGAGAGGGGCTGGCTCATGGGGACAGCACCAAGCTGGTTTTAGTTTCTAGCAAAGCGGAGACTAGAGGAAGCTGTGCGCCACCTGGGCTGATTTCTGGACCCTGGCTCAGCCCCTCACTAGGGCCCTGGTCTGGAACAGGAAGCAGAGGCCCTACAGACATGGGTCTGTGGCTTGGTTCCTCTTGGGGCTCAGAGCCTTGATCGGGAGACAGACTATGCGGGAGCAGAGGCCTCACAAGGAAACCGAAACCCAGCGGAAGGAGGATGTTTCGAAACACAGAGGGAGCTGTCTTAGCATACTCACCCTCTCAGACCAGCAGCGTCGGTTGCCGGCGTGGCCCAAGCACACATAAAGGCAGGGACATCGAATTTCCATCCTGGTGCCACAGCCTTCTCGGGTCTGACCTGAGCTAGGTCCCAGCTTCTCTGTGACCTTCTACATCCCATCAACCAGGCCCCGTCCCCTAAATGTCTCATGTACCAGTCATCTGGTAACTCACACTGTGTTCTTGGAGAGAGATGGCAATACTCTCCTGCTGTGGTGATCTTATTACGTATAATAAGACAAGTTCCCTGCCCTCAGGGGACCCCCATGAACTTGGCCCTGTGGGGATGGTGGCAGGTCTTCCTCACTGAATGGCTCTAAAAATGGGAGGAGGCAGACAAGGAGTCACAGAGATGCCCCCTTAAATTCTCTGCCAGGGCCAAGGTCATGGACAAAGGGTAGATATGGGATCTATGTTGGTTGCCCAGTAGCTCTCGGACCCTTTTTCCAGGCCAGGAATAAATTCATCAGCCATCACTTTTAGGGATGAGACCCCTTAGAAGGAACACAGAGGAGGGAGGTGACCAGAGAACCACCCAGGTCCTTTGTCATCCTAGGGCTGGGCTCTGACACGGACTGGAACAGGTGGATGTAATCACTATGGACCCACAGTTGGAGGTGGATGTGAGGCCCAGAACCCACGTGTGCCCCTTGGGGCAACACAAGGGACCCTCTTGGCCCCCTTCCAGCCCTGCCCTGGCACGAGTGGGGTCTTACCATTGACAGTTAGGGTCACCTCTCGCTCCCCGGCCCCTACCCGGGGCACCACAGCTCGGCACACGTACTTCCCCGCGTCCTCCTGGCGGACGGTTTTGAGGGTCAGGGTCTTCTCATTGCTCAGGACCTAGGAGGAGTGGGGAGGGTCAGACCCCGAGGGCAGGGGCCACGCTCTCTGTCTCAGAACCAGAAAGGCTGAGAGGCAGGCCGGGTGGCAGGGTACACGGTCTCCAGCATCTCAGCAACAACAGGGGGTGGGGTGGGAGCCAGAAGTCTTCTTACACAGTGTGCCCGGCGGGCTGTCGGGTGCGGGAGCCCACGGCCCAGAGCACCCCGTGAGGCTGAAGATGCTCTGCCCCAGCGGCAGCCCTGAAGGGTGGGAATGCAAAGGGGTGGGGTGAGAGAGAAGGAGGGGCCCTCCCTGGCTGGGGCCCCCAGGGCTTCCTCATCCAGGGGGTCTGTCGGCCAGCCTGTACCAGGCTGGCCGGGGGTGAAGCTATCCTGCAGCTGAGCGTCCCTGAGGGTCCCAGGTCTGGCTTCCTGAGTCATCTGCAATATCCCTTTGGGATGAGGTTTGGCGTGTTGAAAAGAAAACAGGCTTTGGCAACAGCTGCTCTGAGTGGGAGTTCCGGCTTCAGCGGTGCCTACTTGTGTGGCTTGGGGTGTTAATTATCTTCTCGGAGGCTCTTTCCTGATCCCTGTAATGGGGGCAGTGACACTCAGAGGACAGTGCAGTGTTTGGCACACAGAAGTCACTTTTCTGCTGCTTCTCCCCCTGCTTCCCTGCCCAAGGCTCTCACTGGTCCTCCTGGGAGGAGGGATGTCTGAAACTCCTAGGCACACTAAAGAACACATACGCTTTAAAAGAGGAACACAGGAAGAAAGCAAGGCTTAACCCCAAAGTTAAAGGGTAACAACTATTTGGGGCAAGCTAAAAAGCCTTTCTAGTGACTTTTCGCCCCAGCATCTTGGTGACCACCTGCTTTTCTTATAAGGCTCAGGATAAAGCAGAACTGCACTGGCTGAATGTGTTTAGACCCAAGGTGGGTACGTGTGGGTACCTGGGGTTCCCTCTCCTCCTTCTGGGGCCTTCCGTCCTTCAGTTTACATGGGAGGCTAACGTCCCCAACCTAAGAGTGAGAGGGGCCACGGGAGGCAGTTCCCTCCTGGACTGTGGACCCCGCACCCCTCCAGGGCCCTCCAGGGTCTGAGCTGCGGACTCACCACGCCAGAGCCCCGCTTCATCCAGACGATGGTCAGCGACGGGTTGCCTGTCCAGGCGCAGCTGAAGACGGCGTCGGAGCCCAGATCCACGAGCAGGGATTGGGGTTCCGTGGTCATTCTGGGCCCGACTGCGATGCGAGGAAGGAGGAGACAGGGCTCTCGTGGGCTGGGAGCTCTGGGGACCCTCCTTGCTGCTGCCTCCCCTCCCCCATTCTGGTTGGGGGAGGGGGAACCACTGGTGCCACGTCCCTCCGCTCCGGCCCATTCCCTTCCGTTCCGCGTCAGTCCTCTACCGGTCTGGGCCCGGGTCTGGGCAGTAAGGAGGAGACCCCTCTCCCCCAGCCCAGCCTCCCTCGGGCCCACCATGGGGGTAGGCAGCACCAGCCCCGAAAAGCGGCTCTGGTCCAATTTCTGCCTGGACTTGCCCCCAAGGGCTCTCCCATCCCGTTCCCTCTGTCCTGGTCCCAGGAAGCCCCCCGGACCCCAGTGTGGGGGCAGAGGGTCCTTCCCCCACCCCAGAATCTCTCTGTGTCTGCCTTCAAGTCAACTGGCCACCTCCTGCAGGCCTCAGCCTCGTGACCGGGAGTCAAGGTACCTGTGCGTCTGGCCCAGCTCCCTGGGCCCACCCAGGGCCCCGCAGGGCCACTGCAGGGCTCTGAGATAAGGAGTGGGGAGGCCAGGCCCCCTGGAGGTGCCCCCCCGCACCGGCCGCCCTCCCAGGTTACTCTCTAGTCCAGCCCCGCCCCACCTCCTTTTCAATCCACGAAGCAGGTGGCCTTTGGCCCTGTTGCCCTACACCCGCCCTAACCCGAGTGCCCTGCAGGCCAAGCCTTGCTTCCCAGAGTGGGTGCAGCCCTGGGGTTTCAGGGGTGGTGACGGGAGGGTGTGCAGACAGCTGTTTTCAGGGAGCAGAAGGTGTGAAATCAGGGTCAGGAGACCCAGATGAGTCCCTTGGTGCAAAAAGGGAGTCATAGCACTTTCTGCTGAGGCCCGGACGGGCGAGGGGGCGGTCAGGCATAAAGTTTGCAAAAGTGCTTCTAAATCTGTAAAGGGCAGTGGATGAGCTGATGTTCAACGCTGTGAACACAGCTGTGGGCTGTTTCCCCGAGGGTCCCTTCCTGGCCACTGGGGAAGAGGGGGAGCCCCTGATGAGAGGCGGACCCTTTTCAGTCCTCATTCTGCCACTTGCTCGCTGCGTGACCTTGGGCCTCCATCCCCTCATCTGGGTACTGGGAATAAGAAGTCCAGCCTCCCTGGGTGATTTTTTTTTTTTTTTTTTGGCCACGCCGCCTGGCTTGTGGGATCTTAGCTCTCTGACCAGGGATTGAACCCGCGCCCTTGGCAGTGAATGTGCAGGGTCCTAACCACTGGACCGCCAGGGAAGTCCCCTCCCTCGGTGACTATGAGGGTCGAGATAAACATGAGGGAAGCTTTTCGTAAAGCGCACGGATTACGAGCCTCTGAGGCACTCTTCTGTCACGTGCAACGAGGCCACGGCGGTTCCGCCTGCCGCGAGCAGCGCCCAGCCAGTGCCCGTGTGCCCGGGAGGCCCTAAACAGCCACTCACAATAGACGTCGACATTGCGGCTGACGTTGGTGCTGCCCAGGGCATTGGTCGCCTCACAGGAGATGGGCTCTGAGAAGTACGTGTAGTCCACGGTGGTCCGGTACACCTCCCCGGAGGCTTCCTTGATGATCTGGCCCCGCTTGGCCCACCTGCAACGCAGGCACCCGGGCTGATGTGGACCTCCGGTGGCGAGGGCGTCCTTCCCGCCCGGGGGGCTCTTCTCTCTGGGAGCCGGACGCATCCATCCCGCAGAAAAACGAGGCCCAGGGAGGGGCGGCGTGGGGCAGGCCTCCGAGCGGTCCCTCAGGGGAACCCTCTGCAGAGGGGTTACTCCCAGGGCTAGGGGTGTGGGGTTGGTGACGGGGGCAGTGGTTTCTGGTCCGTGGGTCACCAGGCAGCCGGCAGCACTCGACTAGTGGGTTATTCTGGAGGGAGGTGGGTTGACTATTCAGTGGGTCAGCGCACCTGGCTGGCCAGGTGATGGCTAACCCAGCTGTCAGTCCCCAAACCGCTTGGCCCTCTTGCTGCTCTGAGCTCTCTCGGGGGTGGCGGGGGACCGTCCTGGGCCACATTGGAAAAGAAGGAAGCCAAATCCATGACCGAAGGGGCCCAGGTCTAATGGTGTGTGCCCATACACGCGTGCACTCCTGTGCGCACGCACACGTACACGTGTGTACACACGCGTGGGGCTCAGGAAGCTTGATTTCCAGACGAGGCGAGAAGCTGATGGAGAGGTGTGAGCAGTGGTCCTGACTGCTCCCTCCCCAACTCGGTCAGCTCTCTCCGTCCCCCCTGTCCTGACCCCTGTCCCTGCGGGGGGCGGTCCCCTCATGGTGTCCCTCTCTCTCTGAAAGCCCTTTCAGCCTCCCCCATGGCACTTGCTCTTTTTCCTGCCCAGCCTCTGCCTCCCACCCAGGCTCCGCCCCTCAGAGGCCTGGGCTCCATCTGCACTGGTTTGATGGGGGCGGGGGAGGGGGGATGGGAAGACAGCTGTGCTGACTTCTTTGCTGGGCCAATTGGCTGATCTGTGTCTCGGACCCGGCTCAGGGGCGGTGATCACCGCGTTGGACTGGTAGCTGGGCAGCCTGCTACCTGTGGGGCAGTGCGGCCAGGGGGGTGTGTGCCTGTGTGCCTGCGGCTGGGGTTTCCTTACAGATGCCTCAGGAGAGAGAGTTCAGAGCTTCCCCTGCTTTACTCCTGTTGTGGATAAGACTTCTTAAAACTCACAGAACTTCCGACCAGGCTCTTCCTACTGTGGCTCAGGCCTGTTTTGGGGTGCATGTCTTTACCAGAGCTGGGCAGGTACCTTGGCCCTGTAGTCGTTACCCTGGGGCCGCAGAGGCCCGTCTCCTGCCCTTCCTGCCCTTCCCTCCACCGGCCCCCACTCAGCCTGCCCGTCTGGCCGGAGGCTGCCCGTCTCCCGGCACAGCAGGGAGCATCAGGCTGGCACCATGTGGTCATTATCTCAAATTAACATCGGGTCGTTATTAAGAAGACAATTAATAATAACAATTATAGTTTAACAACAGAGCAAACCATAGCTCCCCGAGAGCCGAAGGAGCTTCCCGACAAACTATTATGAATTATTCATGAATCATTTCAATCTCTAACTTTAATTTAATGACCAGACTTAATAGTCAGGTACAGCTCCCGCCTGGGGTGGCTGAGTTCAGTCCCAGACACACGGTCGGGGGTCGGTGTCCAGCCCCTACTCCGTCTACCCTGCTGCAGTGAAGATTTAGGCGGTGGGATGCTGAGGGGTGGGGCAGGCAGCTGGCTGGGCTGGGGGGAGGCGGGTGAGCCCCTCCTGCCCTGCCCGGACCCTTGCTCTTGCCTGCCCACAGCTCCAGATGCTGGGACAGGGGTGGGCTTGGCCCCAGCGAGCAGGCTCTGCTGGGCAGTCCTCTTCCATTATCGGGGGGTTCCTGGGGCAAAGGGGGCTTTCTCCCCACCTGTCTGGGGCCTCTCATAGTGTAAGAAGGGTGAAAGCTCCACCACTGGGGCCCTGAGGATCTCAGAGCTGCTGGGGCATCCTCAGGACCGGAGCCCAGTGATCCAGGCCACACGGGTCTCCTCTTCCCCAGAGCAGGCTGGCCTGCCCTCTCAGAGCCAAAGAAGGGAGACTTCAGGGATGCCGGATGGCTGTGTGGCTGCGGCTCTCAGCCCCCAGGGCCCGTCTCCACCTTGGAGGTGAAGGGGGGGCAGAAGGAAGTCTTAGGCCATCTTCTCCCAGGGCCACAGGAGGCCAGCTGTGGGGCTGAGCCTTGGGGGGCGCCCCACAGTGCCCTGCTCACATCCCACTCAGCCAGTCTTTCTCTTCCCCATGTTTATTCCCCTCCCGCACCAGAAAGTCCCTCGTAGGCATCCCTTCCAGCAGCTCAAACCACTCACTGAAGCAGCTGGTCACACGACCAGGGGGGAGCCGGGATGCAAGTCCCGCCCGCTCCCGTCTCGCCTCCCATCTCTCTTCTGTTTTCCAGCTTCACTTCCTCCTTCTCCTCTTTCCTCCTGTCCCTTCCCTCTCCCACCACCCACCTACGCCCCTGCTGCCACTGCTGCTGTCACCGCCTCGAAACAGGCGTCAGATTAAACCTTTCCCAATCAATGTCTAATTTGGCAAGAGCGAATGTAAGAGGATTAATTATTTATATCACACAATCGGGAGGCTGGTGTGTCAAGGCTGACAGGCTGTTCTCAATAACCCTGCCTTCCACTCTGGGCGGTGGGACCCGCCCTGTCACCTGCCCGGGTGGGGTGGCCCTGAAAGCCTCAGAGGGGAGCAGAGAGGCCGGAAGAGATGCGCTTCAGGTGTGTGTGGGCCTGCTCTGCTCGCCCCGGGGCCGCTGGTCCAGTGCGGCAGCCGAAGTGACCGCTGAATCCAGCTGGAGGGGCTCCCCTGCCCCCCCCACCCTCCCAGGGCCCCTTGCTGGGTGCTGGGGCGGACGAGGGCATATCTCTAATTTCCAAGATTACAGCCTCTTATGCGGAACAGGAGGAAGCAATCAAGACCAAAGGAAGTTAAGAAAAAAAGACCCCTTAGTCTTGTCAAAGTCAGCTGGGAAAAATCGATGTGCTTACGTGCCAAGATTTGCTCAAGGCTTTTCCTCTCGGATCCCAACACCACGTCTAGAAGGACCATCTGCCTGCTGGGTGAGCCCTTCCTGAGGCCAAGGGGCTGAGCCAGTTGGGGGTGGGCACAGACGTCTGCCTCCGCTTGCCATGGCCCCTGCACCCCCTTCCTCCCGGGCCACCCCAGCTCTCCCACATTTTTCTGGAGCCCAGAAGGGCTCCCTGAGAGCCTCTGGAGTCCTGGAGGGAGCCTGATTTGCACCAAAGCCTTTTTGGGGCCTGTGGCTAATCGGAAGCTCAGGAGGAAAGGTGGCAAGTAAGGACAGGTGCGTATCTGCAGGGGCCCTGCCTGAACCTCTGGCTCCTCCTCTGTGTGTGATGAGCTGACCCAGGCTCTGAGCTGCAGGGAAGGATGCGGATGGAGGGGAACCACAGGTGCCCAGAGCCTGGGGAAACCTGCACGTCCTGGCTCATTCACTTTTTAGTTAGGAAGCTAAATATAACTTTGTAGTTATAGAAAAGTCACCAGAATGGCCCAAGTACCTGCCATATTCCCTTCACCTAGATCCACCAGTTGTTAGTATCTTGCCACATTTGCTTTCTGATGACCTCTCCATACGGAGATTTATACCTTATTATTGTCAACGATGTGAGGGTGAATGTGGGTGTGCCTGCCCGGGGGGTCAGTGGGAGAGAAGGGCTGCCCAGGGAAACTGGCATTAGAGGTCTTTTCTGGGCAGATGGTGCCTGGTGTTTAGTGCTTGTGAGCAGAGAGCAGACAACAGAGAGAAGCCCACCTGTCGATGGAGCCCAGGTCTTGCAGGTACAGGGTGGAAGCTCAGAAAAAAAACAGAGACTCTTTGGGCATCTCCTTCTGCACCTTTGTCACTTGTCCCAGTCAAACCAGACCTGCCCCCTGGACCTAAGGGGCTGTAGGACTCCAGGGAGCCTGAAGGCCGTCTGCTCTTTCTCCTGCCTCTAGCCCAGTGACTGGTTAGATCGACAGGACAGATGAGTTTTCATCCTACTTAAAAATATTCTCAAGGATAAAGACTCTGAGCCTTTCCTGGTCTCCGGTTCCAGCGTTAATTATCCGCACTGCAGGGGGCACCACCTATGTCCAGCCCGAATCTCTGGCTGCCTCTTTGGCCCACTTCCTCGAGTTCTGCCCTCTGGGGCCGCACTGCCTCTCGTCTCCCCTGTCCTCCACTCCCACTGGCAGGCTTGTTTCCTAGTCTGGGACCATCAGCATTCCTGGCACTGGCTCATGCTGGGGCTTCATAGCCCATCTCGACAGTGGAGGCGACACCAGGCTCTTCCATCAGGTGTGGGCTGGGGGAAGGGACGGGGCAGAGTGAGGGCTATGGTGAGTTGCACAGATGCCTCAAGGAGGGGAGTGTCTGAGTCAGCCCCCGGAGCACCTCTGAGGCCACTCTGTGTCTGGAAGTCTTGGGTGGTGATGGTGCCCGGGCAGGAGGGTGCCCAGAGGGGCTGCTCTACGTGTTTACGGAGTCTGCGAGCTAATGTCCTGGAGCGCCGAGTGCCTGCCACACAAGTGCTCCACTGAGAGCTGTTAGGTGACCAAACTGCGGGCCCGCCTTCAAGAAGCTCAGTCAACAGGGAAAGACAGGCATGCACAAAGAAGTGATGCGTTTATCAGTGTGGTGAGCAAAGGCTGCACAGGGGCGGTGGGTATGACGGATTCTGGGTACCCGCCGCTCAGGGCTGGCTGCCCCGGAGACCCGACGCCCCCAGGAGAACGGTTTGGTGAGCACAGGACTAGAATCCAGATGCTGATTGATCATGCTCGTTCTCATGGCTGTTTCAGCTTTTTTTCCCTGAGCCTCTTTCCCTCCTTTCAGAAATAAGGGGTAAACAAGCTGTTCAAACAGAAGGAGTGAAATCTTCTGCCTCAGAGGAGGGGAGTGTGTGCTCATGAAGGAAAGGAGAAGTCCACCTGGCCAGGGGTGAACGGGTGTGCTGAGGACACCCACAGTGGACCAGGCACCGTGCTGGATGCCCAGGACCACAGGTGATGCCCCTGTGACAAGGAGGGGTGTGCAGGGCGCCACGGTGTGGGCCTCCCCAGCAGGGCTCTTACCTGTACTGGGTGACGGCAGGGTTGGCCTTTGCAGAGCAGTGAAACGTGACCACGTTGTCCTCCAGCACTGGCTGTGGCTCCACCGACAGGTTGACAAGTGGGGGGTCTGCAGAGAGAAGAGGTGTCCTTGCAGGTGGGGAGCTGCATTCACGGTTTGGGGGCTGAATCCCCAGGAGAACATGAGGGTAAAGGCCAGTGATTCCACCACCTGGGACCCCCAGAGCAGCCACTCCCCTGGGGGTCCCCAGAAAGTTGGGGGCCTTGGCAGGGGGCTCCCTCCCTCCCTGGAAGTGCCGGATTTCAGGCCGTCTGGCGGTGGGGTCAGGGCTCCCGCTGTGGATTCAAGGCCGGTGTTTAAACGAACGGTCAGCCAGGGAGCAGGGCTGCCTGGGCCTCAGAGCGTACTGTCCACCTTCCAGCTTTGGGAGAACAAACCACTGCAGAAAGGAGAGGTGGGAAGAGGGGGTGCAGAGGCCAGAGGGGGATGTGGACACTAAGCCCCTTTAAATACTAACTTTCTGTCTCTGAAGTATCTGTTTCGTGTCTCTTTGTGTAAAGGTTCTGGTGCATCTGTTGCCTTGAAAGTGGCATTTACACCCTTTCATCCACCTAATCATCTCTGCTGAGTGCTGACTGGTGTCACCCAGCCCTCAGCTCCCCAGGCTGGGCTCGTCTTTCTCACTCAACATGAGGAGAAGCCCAGCTCTGAAGTGCGAAATGGTCGGAGGTAGAGGAGACAGAAGTCAGAGAGGGGGAGAGAGACAGGGAGACACAGGGACACACAGATCCGTGCCGAAGGGAGGGGGGGGGGGACAGGCAGAGAGACGCCTACGTAGGAGAGACATGGAGATGAGGGAGGGAGAGAGAGAGACATAGAGAGAGGGAGACATACACAGAGAGAGAGACACACAGAGAGAGGGAGAGAGAGAGAAAGTGCAGAGGCAGACTAAGAAAAAGAGGCAGAAACCCAGAGAAGCAGAGAGCAGAGATGGACAGGTTCAGAGAGAGACTGACATGTACACAGAGACACACAATCAGACAAAAAATTTAGACTTAAGGCAAAAAGACCAAGGGAGACTAAACAGATGGAGACAGAAAATGATAGGGTGCTGGGGAGAAAGACCAAACAAAATGATGAGAAACTGAGAAAAGAGGGAGAAACAGACACAGAGTGACCTGGAGATGGGAACAAGAGGAGGAGGGATCGACAGCAGAGATCAGAGGTGGGGAATCAGCCCAGAGAGAGGCGTCAAGGCAGCCTGGCCCTCCTGAGCTCCAGGGAAGCAGCCTCGGCACCTGCTCTAAAAGCTGGGCATCCTCGAGCTCCTGGGCACGCGCCCAGGCCCCAGCACCCCAGGCATCTGCGCTTCAGGGGAGGGGCGATGACAGCCAGTGCCCGCCCTTCTTCCTTGTCGGGTCCTGGAGGTCCGGCTGGAGTTCGGCTCCAGGCTGACTGAAGAGGGCAGCTTGGTCCCTGTGTCCTAGCCAGGCCCTGGGGCCACGTCTTCTAGCCCGACCTCACCAGTAAGCACGGCAATGTGCTGGAAGGGCATGAGAACTTTCCAGGGGTTCAGCCCATTTTCAGAAAAAGGAGTGAGGAAGTCGGTTTCTCAGAGACCATCGAGAAAACGCTGACCCCTCTAAGTGCATGTGAAGGGTACCACCGGGGGAGCGAGACCCCAGCCGCCTGGCCCAGCTCCTGGCTGAGACGACAGGGTGGTCCCCGAGCCCCTCAGAGAGTCGTCTGTGCAGACGCCCAGCCGTGGACGGAGCCTCACCCCCCCTTCCCGGAGTTGGGATCCTTTGGCCACTTGGCCTCCCTGTGCCCTGCTGGTGCTCGAGCTGCCAGTGCTGGGGCACCAGGGCAGGGAGATGACCCACAGGGTCTGGGCTGGGGTCTGCAGACAGCTTAAGACACGGGAGAGAATGCTGGCTCCTGAGCAGCAGGTAGAGACTGAGCTGGGGCTGTTCTCCCCACATTATCCCCGGGTTCTGGTTGGGGACCACGAGCTTCTGCTACTGGAACAGCTGTCTTGTCTGCCTTTTTCTGGAGAGTTAATTACCGGGGAAGTACTTCAGTGATCTCAATCTTGGTTTCTAAAGCGTAATTCCAGTGGTCCCAAAGATGTGTGGCCAGGACTCTCCGTGAGAGCTCTCCCCACACCTCCCAGGAGAGCTGCACCCCCAGAACCCTGCAGCCTCATCCCGGCTTCTGCCCGTCACCCTGGTGCCGGCCCACCCAGCCGAGGACCACCGGCTTCCAGGGCTAGTTCAATGGCCTCTAGAAACCCGCCACAGAACCTGCGGGGTAGTTGCAGGAGGTCTGCCCCCACCTGGATGTGCTTTATAAAGCGATGAGGCTTTGGTGGCTGGGAGATGGGGCACACACCTGATGGAGGACCCCCTCCGGGCTGCCTGCTCCCCTTCTGCACCACAGAGCTGCCCTTCTCAGTTTATCCTGTGGGCACCACTCTCCTGCAGCTTCCCTACCTCTTCGCAACATGCTCGGTACCCAAGCGAACAGGCCCTGGGAAGCTTCCACACTTGCCAGTCTCACCTGTGCTTCCACCCCAGGCCCAGAGGTGCCCATGCTCGTCTCTCCACCCCTCTCCTCTGCATGTGCAGGATATGAATTCTCAGTAGTCTACCATGCTCCAGAGGTATAAATAGTTTATGTCATATCCGACTATTAAACATGATTTTAATCCCATTTGTGATGTCAGCTGAGTAAGTTGCAGGGGGGCCGCTTTGATGTAGCTGGTGGAACTGAGATCACACTGAACAGATGTCACAGCTGAGAGTCTGTTAGTGTTTCCATCAGCAACCTGCCCGTGTGTGTGCGTGTGTGTGTGTGTGTGTGTGCACGTGCGTGTGCGTGCGTGTGTGCGTGTGTGTGCGTGTGTGTGCGTGCGTGTGTGTGTGTGTGTTTTCAGGGGAAGTATTACATCGAGGAGGGGGTGAGAAAAGAGAAACTCCATGATTCAGTGATTTTATAGCACATCCATTTGAAACTTGGCAGCTGTATGCAGAGTCCAGATGTAGCAAGGCTTTGGGGGTGTTAAGCTTTCTCTCCCATTACTCAATCTGGGGGCTTTGTCTTCCGTTGGGTAACATCTAAAGACCAAGGGAAACAAACAACAAATGTGTTTTTGCTGAGTTTGGTTGCTTCTTGGTTGACTGAGAAAATGAGCAGGTTTGGAAAGGCAGCTCTGATCCAGCCCGTGGTGTCCACAGTGAACAGCTGGATGCTTACTGAATGAACAAAGGGATACACGGGGGCAGGGGGAGAGCAGGAGGGAGGGCGTGGCGAGAGCGTGCTCTCTTGCTCGGCAGGCGCACGCAGACACCTTCAGGAGAGGGGACAAATGGATGCAGACCTCCCCCTGTTGGGGCTGGGGGCATCGGGGAGGGGCAGCTGCACCCCCATGACTGTGCACGGTAACAGCAGCTGACAGGTGCCGGGCGCTGTGCTAGGGTCGCCACCTGAATGGTTTAATGTAATCCTCGCAGCCAGCGGGTGAGCCAAGCGCTGCTACCTCCACGCACAGATGAGGAAACCGAGGCACAAGGAGGTTAAATGACCAGGTTGGCATCACTCAGTAAGTGGCAGAGCCAGAATTCAAACCAGGAAGGATGCTATGGGTTTAACCACGACGCTAGACTGCCTTGGACGGGGCCCACCTAGGAAACCGGGCACCTGGGTTCTCAACCTCAGCCCGACCTCATTCCCGATGCCTCCCCCCTCAGGTGGCTGAGTTGTCCCTGGAAAGAAGGCCAGCAAAGTCCAGAGACCTGGCAAGGCCGGCGACCTCCTCCTGTGCAGACTGTCATCTGTGTGCCCTGGTAAATTGATCATCTCATTAGAGTGTGTTTAGAGGAATGTGTTTTAGTAGTTGGTGGGCTGTTGTCATGATGATGACTTTCTTGTTGACAGAAGAGGTTCTGCTGTGTGACGGATAGCGGACTGGAGGAAGCAGGAACACCCCTTGCCCTGGGTCTCTCCTGCCAGGGCCCAGGAGCCACCCAGGTGGTTCTTTTGTGAGGGTTCCGTGGCTGGCATAGGTCTCCTGACCAGCTGGGGGGTTGGTGGGCGAAGGAGGGAGGCACTGCACAGTGACCACGACTGGCAGCCTGTTATAGGAGGCTTGGATGTCTGTGTCTCCCACCCTCATTCCTCCCACATTTGGCTTGTATCTGGAGAAAGCTCTGATTCACGGTCAATCTCAGGGCAAAAAGAGAACTCGGATGTCATTCGATCAGATCAGACAAGGAACTGGCATGTCTGTGGTGAGGTGTCCAGCTTAGGCCCGCATGGCTCGTGGGTGGTGGAGCCTCTCTGGATGTGGACCACTCCATCCTCCAGCATCTTGCTTCCTTTCCGTAGCTGGGCCTGCTGCTTGATGCCACGCCTGCTGCACGGAGGAAGCAGGCGGCTGTGGAGAGCCAAGGCCTGGACTGGCGTTGGGGAGGGAGGCATCCCTCTCAGCGTGACCCTGAACTTACATGACCCTCAGAGCGAGGGCCTCCCTCCCAACGCCCTGGTCCTAGACCTGGCCAGAGTCCTCTGCCTGGTACAGGTGGGGGTGGGGGGGTGTTAACAGCTGGTGAAAATGGCAAATACAAACCCTTCTCCAAGGCCTCAGCTGTTGTGTCTAGGTGTCCGGAGCAAGCCCATTTGAGGGTTTCAACAGTTTCTTCTGCCCTCTGGAACCTAAAGGTCACCTGCCAGGATTCCAGACACTGGGAGAAGTCTGCTCTCTGGCTCCCAAGACAGGCTCTGGAAGCCCTAGGACACGGCCCCTGCAGACCCCAGATCCCTGGAGAGCCACGTGGAGCACAGAATGCAGGCACTTAGATGAGCCAGGGCTGTTGGGAGGTGTTTCTAGGTGGATTTGAATTAAAATGAGTAAAATGACAAGGAAGAAACAAATGCCGACCTACAGCTCTGGCCTTGTCCTTCAGAGACTCCAACCAAAGCCACCAGCTCATGGTGGCCTCATGCTCTGTGGCAGGGAGGGGGGGTTTAAGAGAAGAAGAGTCAACTTCCGGGGGCTGACACTTCCAACCTAAGTCAGTCCAGTATGGAGAGCAAAGCTGCTGGGGCCCTGTGTTGAGCTCACCTTTGTTCGCGGAGGCCGACGGGTACCTTAGAGAGATTTTAGACCTTCAGGAGTCTCCTTTAGGGACTTTGGGAATGCAATGCTGGAGGAGCTTTAAAGTGTCACTGTTCATGCTCGTCGTAATAACTGACCCTGGCTGAGGGCTCCCGGTGTGGACGCCTACAAGAAGAGTTCCCAGCGTGGGCTCTGGAGAGCTGGCTGCCCACCTCAGAAACCCGTGTGGACTGGGGGCCCTCGGTTTCCCAGATAGGGACCGCAGTCATACCCTGGTCTGGGAAGATCCCACATGCCGCGGAGCAACTAAGCCTGTGAGCCGCAACTACTGAGCCTGCGCTCTAGAGCCCGTGAGCCACAACTACTGAACCCGCGAGCCACAACTACTGAGCCCACGAGCCACAACTACTGAGGCCCGCGCGCCTAGAGCCCGTGCTCCGCAACAAGAGAAGTCACTGCAATGAGAAGCCCGCACACCACAACGAAGAGTAGCCCCCACTCGCTGCAACTAGAGAAAGCCGGTGCACAGCAACGAAGACCCAATGCAGCCAAAAAATAAAAATAAAAAGATTACATGAGATGATACGGGCAAAGTACGAGCTGACTGAGTGATGACTCCTCTTCCTCTTCCTCTTCTCTCCCTGACCGACGCTGCCAGGACAGGGCCTGGTGCCGTGCCTCCACTCTGGAGCCCTGGGTGCCCCTTCTGCTCCCAGCACCTCTGCTCTGGCTTCCTCTCCAAGGGAGGGTGTGAGGCCTCCTGGCTGGGCGGCACTGCCACGGCTGACCACCCTATTTGTCGGTGTGGAAGTTCTACCTTATACAGGTATGGAAATGGGGCTTCAACTTGTCGTTTGTAAAGGACCCTCATCGGTGATGTTTTCTTTTGTTTGTTTGTTTGTTTTTTGGCCGCGCTGCGTGGCAGGCGGAATCTTAGTTTCCTGACCAGGGATCGATCCCGTACCCCCTGCAGTGGAAGCGCAGAGTCTTAATCACTGGGCCGCCAGCAAAGTCCCCAGTGATGTTTTTAAGAAGATTGTCACCCTCATCTCTGACAGTAAGAAGGACAAGATGGTCCTTTGGGTGCCCATACAAATCCGCTAGTCCCCAGGGTTGACTGACCCAGGTCCTGTCTCCAGCCCTCCTGCAGGGGTATGGCTCTGGCCTGGCTACATCCCCCCACCCGTGCTCCGGGCAGGGGGTGCCGGGTGGTCCCTACCCTGGGCTGGGTCAGTACTCACGCTGGATGTCGATGGTGACCGAGGTCTCCTTCCCTCCGGGGATGGCTTTGTTGGTGGCTCGGCACACGATGCTCTGCCCGTTCTCCACATCGCCGGGGGAGATGAAGAGGGTACTCACAATGCTCTCACGCTTGCCGTCGCGAAGCAGGGTCTGCAGGGGGGAGAGAAGGCCCTTGTCACTTGTCACTCAGCTGGGATGGCCTGGGTGCGTCACGTGCCAGTCTTGGAGAGGAGGAGGGAGCCCTGTGGATGGAGGTGGGTCAGCTCAACACACCCAGGGGAGCCCGTCTCCATGCAGAGCCAGGGGTTACCGTTGGCTCCCTGGCCCAGATGAGTGCTGGGCTTCGGCTGGAAAAAGGAACTGGAAAGTTTTCCAGCATGTGTGAAAATCAGCCTGGACTTGCCCACCCTGACACATAAAAGAAACCAGGCTGGGCCTGACGGAAACCAGGTTCTATGTAGAAGTGAACTTGTAACTATTCTGCCTCTGGTCTGGGGGTGTCTCTGGGTCTGCAGGAAGCTCTGAGATGGGGGGCTACATGCAGGTGCTGTGGCCCCTGGGGATGACGCAGGCTGTAGAAGGGGGTGCAGATTGGGGGGTGGGGGTAAGGGCGGGGCTGGGAGGGATGTGGGCAGAATCAATGCACACTGACCATTTCATTACTTTACCTGTACAAACCCTTTCAACTTTTCAATCGTTTCACTTCCTGACCTCATTAGAGCTCGGACCAAGCCACAGGCGGGACAGATGCCATCGTCTTTCATTTGACAGGTGAGAAAACAGGTGTGATCAAGAGAGGCTATGGAGCTTGATCAAACTCACTTCAAGTTGGTGATAATATAAGTAAGAGGGTCTTGGAGTGAGTTGAATATTATCCCCCCAATTCATGTTCACCCAGAACCTCAGACTGTGACCTTATTTGGAAATAGGGCCTTCACAACTTAGTTAAGTAACTAGTAATTAGTTAAGGCTCTTGAGACAAGATCAACCTGGATGTAGAGTGGGCCCTAAATCGAGTGACTGGTGTCCTTGTAAGAGGAGGAAAAGACACAGGGAGAAACAAGGAAGGGGGCCATGGCAAGAAGGAGGCAGAGATTGGAATGATGCTGTCACAAGCCAAGGAAAGCCAGGAGCCCCCAGGAACTGGAAGAGGCAGGAAGATTCTCCCTCTGGGGCCTTTGGAGGAAGCACAGCCCTGCCCACACCTTGATTTTTCGCCTCTACAAGTGTGAGACAACACATTTTGGTTGTTTGAAGAACCAAGTTGTGGTACTTGGTTACAGTGGCCCTAGAAACTAACGCAAGCCTAAAGGTCTCCTGTCTTCCCCACGACCACGAGGTCATTCCTCACAGCTGCTGTTCCCCATCATTGCCGCTACCCCCTCCCTCCTCTGAGCCCCCTTCCAGCTACTTCCCCAGCCATTTACTGCCCCGCACCCTGAGCTCCCTGGTGGCCCACGAAGGTGGGTGCATACTGGGGAGGTGCAGTGTGCAGGAGGGTCACTTCAGGGGACAAGGTGGGGAGACTGGACTTGCTCAGTACACCCCAGGAAGGAACTTGATCCTGCAGCAGGGGGTGCCGGATGCAGTCTTACTTTGCCATGACTGGAGCCAAGGGACAGATGGACAGACTCTACTTCCTCAAAACCTCCCTGAAAATAACCATGACATCCTCTCTAATCCTCACAGGACCTTGGAAGGAAGGGAGCCTTGTCTCCTAAATAACGGAAGAGAAAACTGAGTTCAAAGTGACTCAGGAACTTGCTGGGCAGGGCTGGGATTTGCACTTGAGAATGGTGAGCCCTGAGCCCATGACCCTCCCACTGCAGCTTCCTGAGGACCTGGAAGCCGGGTGGTGTGATCCCCACTTAAAGGTGGGAACAGTTAGATGATTAAGTAGCTTCCGAGTTTAGCAGTGACATGCAGGCGGCTGGACCCTGCCTCTAGGTCCTCAGTTCAGTACCCTCCAACACTAGGAGAACAGGACGGGAGCTTCGGTCCAGAACGGCGCGTCCTGCTGTAGACAAAGCCAGACTCAGATGCCGGAGAGATCCGCAGAGCAGGGCAGTAGTCCCGGCCTGTTTCTCCTCTGCTGTAGAACGGCCTGGGCGCAGGCCTGTTCCCGTCCATATTCTCTCCTGGGACGTGGGGTGATGGTCTCAGCCCTGGGCAGAGGGATCTTGGAGAGGGGCTGGGGGAGGGTGATACGGTCAGTCCCAGGAGCCGGTGGGGTAAGGGCCTTGAGCTCAGCCTCAGGGCCAGGGCGCTAACCTGGAGGCCGGCCCCCGGGGGTAGGGCTTGGCGCGCGGGCGGTGCAGCCCCGCCCAGCCGGAGCAGGGAGCTGCGGCCGCACCATCGTAACCTGCTGGCTCCGGCTCTGCTGACCTCCCGCGTCTATAAATAGCCAAGCGATAATCAACAATTTCCTGGATGTAAAAAAGACCTCGGGGCTGGGGTTGAGGAGGGAGGGAGATCGTACTGTTCTTCCCCCTCTCTTTTTCTTTACTTTTCCGTGGTGCTAACGAGGGGCATTTACATAAATTTTACTCTGCCGGCACCCCTCAGACTGATCTACTTGAGGGGTGCGGGGCCGGTGGGAGGGGAGCCGGGCCGAGCTCCTAATTAGGCCCCGACTGCTGCCCGCTCCCCGCACCCGGGGCGCTCCTCGTCCAGAGTGATGATTAATGACACATTTACTGTGTCCGGGCGCGTGCTTTTCTGGGAAATAAAAATTCTGGTTCAAGTTGTTTGTTCCGCCTAATTAGAGAAGGGGAGATGTGTTCATTAAACCGGGGGAGAGCTCAGCGCCCGCTCCCCACGCCGCTCGGGGGGGTGTGAAGGCGAGGCCACAACGCGTTCCTGGGGAGGGAGCCGAGCGCAGGGCGAAGAGGGGGCCTTGGTCTTCTCACCCTGGTTTTCCTCCGTCCCTTGTTCGTTCCTTCCGCATCTCCTCACCTCTCCTTTCTCTTTTCTTTTCCATCATTCCTGTCTTATAAACCTCCGCTGTCCTCACATGCAAATGAAACCCTGGGACTTTGTGGCCTCCAGGTCCAGGCCAGGTGGACACTCTCTCGTTTGCTGATTCTTGTCACTTCCCCGTCCTCCCTGCCCCTTCCCTCCCCTGAACTTGGCTCTGGAGACGCACCTCCAGGCCGCCACCTTCTGCTTGAGAAACCTTCAGAAGCACGCACTCAGCTTCAGGAGGGTAAGTGGGTTACTAGTGGTGAATCACTGTTTCTGGGGCCACCACCTCCAAGGCCTGGGGCAGCGTTCCCTCCAGCTTGGTGGGCACTAGTGTGACCCTGATGGCCTCTCCTGCGGGTGCCACCTGTGTGTGCAGATATGGACCAGGAGCGGGGCCTATATACCTCACCTGCACAGGGGTGAACATGCCAGGGCCTGTGTGCGTGTCCACCGGCCTCTGGTCCACTAACTGCTTCCAAAGAGCCTTCCTGACTGTCCCAGTGTCTGTGGGAGGCTTAGGGCTCATCTCTGGACCCTGCCTGTGCTGTGCTGCTTCCTGTCTGTGCATCCAGCCCCCCTGTCCCACCCCTGAGGGCAGGCACTTGGCATTCAGTTGGCAGCGGTAGTGGGGGAGCTGGGCTGGCCAGGGGCAGACTGCACCCTGTGTGAGGCTATCCAGTGTGGGCAGCTGCCACCACTCTGCTCTTTCCAGAGCCCCTGGAGCCTCAGCTGGGCAGTGGAGAGCCAGGCTGAGCCCCAAGAGCTGGGAGGCCTCGTGACCACAGTTGAGGGAGGATGGAGGTTTGGAGGGAATGCATTGGGTGGGTGGCCCAAACCTGGTGCTGAATATAGGATGTTCATTGATATGCAAACAGCCTGGAAAGGGCTTGAGCCTGCCTGATTGCCTGGCAACAAGGCCTCCTCTCTTCTCCCTCCTCACTCACCTCGCCCACCTGCCATGTCCCTCAAGTTTTTTTAATCCTCTCTTTGCCTCCCCTTCTTATAGCTGCCTGGGGACTCCATCGGTGCCTGTTATGTGGTTTGAATGAGGGCTGTCAGGGAAGGTGGAGGTTTGCATGGTGCCTTTTGCCCCAGACCCTGTGTCTTCAGGGACCAACCCCAGTTTTGTTCCCTGGGGCCAGGAAGGATGCTCTTCACAAAGAAGGCCAGGATGAGTGGCAGCTGCACACCGAGTAGAGACTCTTGGCCCCTAAGATGGACAGATGAGATGGGGAGTACTGGGGTGACTGGAGGGGAGAGGTTGCAGAGCTGGGCTCCAGTGAGGGCCCAGCGTGGAACCTAATGAGGCTCATTGGTCCTGGGGGTGGGTGGGTGGCCCCTTGGGCAGGCAGCAGTCTGAAGCTGGAGGAAGCAGTGGGGTAGGGCTGGAGGGCAGAGATGTACACAACTGTACATCCTAAGGCCAAGCGACCCTCCCCCTGTTGTGTGCATCCGGGTCAAGGCCTCACCCCCGATGTGGCAGCTGCTGGGGTAGTAGCAGGTGGAGCGGGGATCTGGCTCCCAGGGAAGACTTCTCTCTGGCCTCAGCCCAGACTGTCTCCTCTCCTCTTCCACAACCTGTCCTGCGTCCCCTGGTCTGCCTTCCCGATGAATGCCAGGTGGCTTCGGTTCTGGTGCCAGGCCCGGAGAAGACGGCCTGAGGCTGGGTGTCCGGGAAGAGAGGACTTGGAGAGAGGCCCCGCCATCCTCTCCCCTGCTTCTGCAGCCAGACACCTGCTGGGAGCTGCGGTCCCTCACCCAAGCACCCGGGCCGCGAGGGCTCTGGCGGCCGTGGGTCCAGGGAGAGGCACCACAGCCTGTGCTGGTGCATCCTCTTCCCGAGGATTCTCCCAGGGCGAGGGACCTAGCCATCCTCTGTGATGCCATCCTCAGTCCCACCAGCCCATCCTTCCCCTGCTGGCTGCACGGTGGAGGAGCAAAATGAACACCCCACGAAACCTGGGCTGCTGTGTGACCTCTGGGGAGGGATAACAGGGTAAGCCAGACGGGGCTCTGGGAGGAAGGGCAGGAAGGGCCCAGTAATACCAGCGAACGTTTTACGAAGCCCTGACTCTACGCCAGGCACTTTACCCAGTGCTTTCAACGCATTATTCTTTCTACGTCTCAAAGGAATCCTAACAGGGGTCCGCAGTTATCATCCTCCCATTTTGCAGATGGGGAAGCTGAGGCGGAGAGCTGAAGTTACCATAATATGCGATGGGGCTCAGGTTTGAACCAAGTTGGTAGGATCGTGGGGCCTGCTCTACTATGACACTGTCACACTCGCCCAGGAAATATGGATGGCAGGGTGCACAGTGGGGACCTTGCGGATCAAGTGAGGGAAGGCAGTGATCCTAACAGCCTTGCTTCCCTCTGCCCGGCACTCTGCTCATTCAAGCCTCGCGACCAGCCTTTGAGGCAGGTGCCGTGGCTCCTGTGGTAGAGATGGGGACTCTCAGGCACAGCAAGGCTAGGGAGCTTGCCCGTGGTCACAGAGCTAGAAGGAGGCAGAGCCTGGATTCAGGCTTCCCAGCCCCCTGGGTCCACGGGCTTAACCACCCACCATGTGATAAATACTGAGGCTTCAGCTATGAGGGCTTTCAGGGCCGCCCTGTGGGATTTTTTTTCTGTAGACGGTGGACCCTCCTTGACTTTGTGTACTCGTGGGTCCTCTCAACCTCTCTCTCTCCCTGTCTGTCTGTCTCTGTCTCTCTCTCAGATGTTCATGTCCCTGGCCCCTTCTCTTGCATAGCCTGTCTGGGGCTGCTCTGCCTTTGGGACTTCAGAAGTTCCTAGGTCAATGGCACTTGCAGTCCTGGGGAAAGAGGGGGCAGCAGAGGGCTGGGCTCTGACAGCCCCCGGAGCAGATGCCATATGAGTATGGCTGGAGGATCCAGCCTTCTCCGTGTGCCCCGAGTCACAGGTTTAAAGCTTGTCAGACCCGGCAGGTCCCTGCTGTATATGAATTGTGTCCCCCCCACCCCCGAACTCATATGGTGAAGCTCTGACCGCCAATGGCACATATTTGGACATAGGGCCTTACCCCAGGAAAGAGAGAAAGTTGAGGAGAGACAGAAAAGGTCAGATAAATAGAGGCAGAGCACGAGAGAGAAAAAGAGAGAAAAAGTGACAGTGTGCGCACGAGAGAAAAGACAGAGAGAGAGAGAGACAACGAGCCAGGAACAAAAGGTGACAGAAAATCATACAGGCAGAGCAAGAGCTGCAGAGAGATGGGGAGAGCCGGCCCCTCCTGCAGCCCCTCCCCTCCTTCCACCCCGCCTCACCTTGGAGTAGGTGGCTCCATTGATCACCTCTCCCTTCCTCAGCCAGATGATGGAGGCTGCAGGCTTGGCGTTGTCTGCATGGCAGGTGAGGTTGAGGGGGTCCCCGGCCCGCAGGCTGATGACAGGCCCCCCCAGGATGACGGGGTCATCAGGTGGCACTGCGGGGAGAGGAGGGGAGAGGTCAGGCTGAGGGCGCCCCTCCCCTCGGGCAGGGCTGGGTGGACTTTATGGAGCCGATGACCAACAGTAATTATCATTCTTTAATAAAATGTATAATCCCCTTGTAGGATAACAATAACAGCAACAACAGCAGTAATCCTGACACAGGCATCGCGTGTTTATTTGCAGAGGACTCTCATGTCATCATTTCACCCCGCGTGCGGCAGCCCGTGAGGGGACAGGGCAGGTGTCATTAGCTGTGATTTGCAGATCGGGAAGCACGGCACGGCTTCTTGGACTGCTTTTTTTTTTTTTTGCGGTACGCGGGCCTCTCACTGTTGTGGCCTCTCCCGTTGCGGAGCACAGGCTCCAGATGCTCAGGCTCAGCGGCCATGGCTCGCGGGCCCAGCCGCTCCGCGGCATGTGGGATCTTCCCGGACCAGGGCACGAACCTGCGTCCCCTGCATCGGCAGGCGGACTCTCAACCACTGCGCCACCAGGGAAGCCCAGATCATTCTTTTTAACTTCTCTCTCCCTCTTTTAAAACAAAGCAGTGTCACATCTGTCGTCTGATTTAATCCTCACAACCATCTTGCAAGGTAAACATTATTATCCCAATTACACAGATCTGGAAACCGAGGCTCAGCAAGACCAAGTGACTTGCTCAGGGTCACACAGTGCATGAGTGGCAGAGCCAGGGCTAGAAGCAGGTCCCCTGACACTTGGAGCACCAGGCTGGTTGCTTCCCTTGCAGGGGACAGGTGACAGGCGACCTTTCAAGGCTGAGACAGTGTTTCAGAGGGCTGGGCATCTCCTTAGCACTTTATTCTCCCTCATCCCAGAGTCAGAATGAATCTCTCTTGCCTGGTCCTTCCACCCCATTTCATAGCAGCGTGGTCCCCGCCACGAGACGGGGAATGCCAGGGGGAGAGTGACGCCTCCCGTAGCGCCCGGCACAGGGCCCGGTGCCTGGTGGAAGCTCCATACACGTTTGCTAACTCCAGTGCAGTCACGCCTTTGATCCCCATGATGACCATGGGATGCGGGATGGGCAGTTACGATGATGGATAACCATTGTTGGGAGAAGAGGCCCAGAGAAGTTAAGTGACTGGCCTAAGGTCACAGAGCCTCTTCTGAGATTTGTGCTTGTGGACGCACGAGGGTCTCAGGCCTCTGCTTTCCCTGTCTCTCCTCCCTGGACAAACCAGAAGGGGCAGGGCTCCTTGGAGACCACCTGAGGAATCCCTGGCCTTCTTCCCCAAGGCGGGGCTGGTCAGGAGGGCTGAGCTGCGTGTTTGCTCAGTGAATGGGTCATTAGGTGAGAGTTGGGGTCCTCACGCAAAGGGCCTTCTTTGCCCAGTAGCCAGAGAAAGTCCATCCTTCCAGCCAGGCCCTGTGTGACCTTCTGGGCCCGTGGGCAGGAAGGCAGCCTCTCCAGGCAGTGGAGGCACGTCCAGACCCAGCAGCTCTGCCTTCCAGCCCCTCCCCACCCAGGGCACCCCCAGCAGCCTGCTGGCTTCCCTCCGCTCCCCAGGGCCCATCCCTGCCCTGGCACCTGCCAGGCTCCTCAGGGAACTCCAGGAGACCCTGGGGCCAGGTAAGTACTTGAAGCAGCATGCCTCCAGCTAGTGGCTCTGCCCCCTCCCTTTCCGGCCTCCAGGACGCCTGGTTCAGAACTACAGCCCAGGCGAGTGCCATCCCCCAAGTTTCTATTTCCTAAGGGAAAAAAACCCTCCCGGCTTCCAAGTTGCTCTCATCAGCCCCAGGACTCCACTGCGATCCTGGCCCAGGGAGAAAGTCGGCCTCATTCAGCCCTGCCCAGCCTCCTAGGGGGACCTGGGTACAGGCAGATGGTGGGTGTGGGCCGGACAGTAAAGACAGCCTCCTACCCTGCCCTCCCTTTACCCCCTCATTAGTGCCAGAGGCCTCCTTGGTGCTGTGGGCCAGAGAGCCACAGGGAGGCTAATGAGGGCCTTATAGTGCTGGGGAGGGGATTTTATCTCCTTGCTTTGGGCGGGCCCTGCCAGCAGGGAGGGCTGCGCTGGGCTCCTGGCCCCTCCCTCCGAGGTGGCGGCTTTCTGCCCGTGAGCTGTTCGATGGATGTGCTCAGGCAGAGCTTGCTGAAGGCCAGGGAGACTGGAAAGAAGCTTCCGGAACAGAATCAACACCTGGCCATCCTGTGTCCGCGGCCTCCCCAGTGCTGAGCCAAGGGGGCGAGATTGTGGAAGTGCCCTAAATCAGAGACCGAAGCGGGAAGGCAGTCCCTTGCCCAGTTTTATTTCCTCAGATATAACATGTGAAAGTACAACAGGGGATCTGGAACGTTCCTCCAGCACTGACATTTGCTGGGCCCGAGACAGCGGTTCTCGCTGCAGTTTACAATATTCTGGGGGAGGTTTTAAACGTCCCGTCGCCAGGCCACACCCTGACCAGCTGAATCCCCATTTCAGGGGGTAGACCAGAGCATCAGGGCATTTTAAAGCTCGCAGAGGATTCTGCTGTGTGACCAGGTTTGAGAACATAGTGTCTCTGGGCCTTTGCTCAGTGTAACCACCTGTGATCACGGCTAGTGCTGCGTTTGGAATGTCGGGTTAGAGGAGGGGAGAGGGGAGTGGGACTGTGCTGTGTGACGCTTAGGCGCACGTGCGCACGCGCACACATCTTCCCAAATAAGTGGTTATCACGCCAGTTGTTCACGTAACCATGCATTATGGATCGGCCTTCGCCTCGGTGCACACCAGATGGGGTAGGAGGGGGTGTGGATGGGGGCTGGGGCAGGTGAGGGTGGGAGGGGGAGGAGGGGGGAGGTTTGGGGCCCGCAGGCTGAATAGAAATCAACAGTCGCTCCCTCCTGGCAGCTGTGGTCCTGACAGGAGGGGGGTGACTCATTACCTCTCCATTCAGACCCGGGCCCGGAGCTGGGGGGCCAGGAGGGGAGAAAGTCTCGAGCAGCCCGAGCCTGGAGATGCATTATTCATCCATCCCCCTCCCAGGATTCGTTATTATCCTGAACCACTACAGAGCTTGGTCTCCTAATTTTTTAATCACAGGGAAGGTGGAAGCGTTAGCCTTTTGTGATTAATCCGGAGATAAAAATAGTTGACGGTTTTGGTGTTGAGCTTGTTGTCGGTCAGGAAAAGTGCATTAGCTGTTGGGTGACTGAGACCTGGGAGGACTTGAGCCCGGGCAGAGTGGGTGCCGGGAGCTGGAAGGCAGCCCAGGGGTCACACCCTCCCTGGGACAGGGGCTGGCTCTGGGGCGCTGCTTTTGAAAGGGGCACATCATGCGAATTAGGGTTCTACAGTCGCGGGGGGCGCCTGGCTCTTTGCCATTTACCCTCCTGTCATCCGGGCTTTGGGCAGGCGGCTGGGGGCCTTCCTCCTTGCTCTGCCCATCTCTGGCCATCAGCCGTGTAGACAGTGCCACGTGCGTGGGTGTACAGTGTAGAGGACCCGTGCTCCCTGTGTGGGAGGGAGCCCCTGAGGAATTTCTCCCAGCTCTGCTGCCCAGAGCAAGCGGGCTTCAGTGGAGCGGCGGGCAGGGAGGCACAGGGGAGGTGTATGAGGCCAGAGAGCATGGTGGCTGCCCAGAGTCACGGGGAGCGAGGGTAAGAGAGGATGGGGAAGTGCAGCCTGGCTCCACCTGGGCGGCAAAGCTTTCACCTGTTTTATGTACTAGGGTTCTTTATACCATTTTACAGCAACAAGAGATTCTGTGGCTAAAAGTTGTATGGGACCGATCCCCAGCCCCACAGCTATCTCTAAGACGTGCTCCTATGATCAGAAGGCCTCCTGCACTAGAGCATGTGCTAGGGGAGACCATCTGACTCTCCTTCCTGCAGGACATCGGCTGGACAGAGAGTAGAGTGGAGCTGGGTTCAGAGGGCTTCCGCCTCGTTCTGGAACTGCTCACTGGCTCTGTGCCCAGCTCATTTGACTCCTTGGTCTTGGTCTGCCCGGTTGGTCAACTTTGCCCGAACAGGCTGGGAAAATCCTCTTGGTTCCAGGCCATGGGCAGCGCTGTGGGGTCTCCTCCAAAGTCCAGTTGGTCACCTAAGTGGCCCCCTCCAGCCCGCTGGGCTTCCAGCGTTCCCCAGATGCTCCGTCAGCCCAGATGGTTGGTGCCCAGAGATGGGGGATGGGACACATCTGCCAGCAGAGGCCAGCAGCCCGGACACGGAGCTTATGTTGCCAGGGGCAGATGTGGGGCGGTCAGCGGGCCATCCCCCCGCCCCCATCAGTACCGGGAGCACCTCATAGACGCTAAGCTCTCTGGAGGGCAGGCCTGGGTCCTGTTCAACTCATGTGCAGTGCCTTCTCCACAAGTGGGCTGTTCAAACACAGTCTGGTTGGGTCGCTGCTCTGCTCCAAGCTCTCTGGGGCCTCTGCACTGTCCCTGGAACATAATTTGAAATCCTCTCTGTTGTCTATAAGCACCTGCACCCCTGGTCCTGGCCTGCCTCTGGGACCTGGCTTCCTTCCACTCAGCCACTCAGCCCTCACCACGCCCCGCCCCGGGGCCTTTCCGTCTGGAATGTTCTTTTCTGTGTCTTTGTCTTGCTGGCTTCTCCTCGTCAGTGATGGTGCAGCTTAAATGCCACGTCCTCTGCGAGGCCTGGCCACCCTGTGTAACAGCCCCTCATGACTCTCTGTCACACCAGCCCCCTTGCTTCTTTATCACCGGGTTCATTTGTATCTCCTCTTATGGAAAGGAGGCTCCCTGACAGCAAAGAAAGACCTTGTCTCTCTTGGTCACTAGATCAGTGCCTGGCACACAGTAGGTGCTCAGTAAATGTTTGTTGAATGAATAAATGAAAGATCCCTGGGTGAGGGGTCTGGCATGGGCGTTTGCTTCCGAGGCCAGCAGTTTCTATGCTGTGTGTGTATGGCGGTGGGTAGAGTTGGGGTGGCGGGCAAAGAGGAGGTGCCTCCCACACCTCGCGGGGACAGGAACTCCCTATGGTGGGACCTTGGGGAGTGGTTGCTTCCTGCCGTTTCTG